GCCGCCTCCGACGATCATGTTTATCGTGCGCGCTGGGGAAGGCGGCTTTGGCGGTCCGTGGGACTGTTCCCGTCCGCGTGCAAAGTTTATTTTTCCTTTGTCACTGAGTAGCTCCCTTAGGTATCCCTGGTTCAGCATCCTGACCACTTCTTGCCGTAGGCCGATGCAGTCTTCGGTTTTGTGTCCTCGTTCCTGATGGAACTCACACAGGGCGTTTGATTTCCTTGTGGCAGGGTCTGATTTCATCTTTTGCGGCCAGTGCACCTTGGTGCCTAGCTTCTCCAGTGCGTACACTATCTCTGAAGGAGACACACAAAAGTTATGGGCGGTTAATAAAGGGGGCGTACCTCTTTCGTTTCGCAGTGGGGCGACGTGTCGCTGTAGTGCGTCTGTATGCCTTGGTGGCGGATGGGAGGATCTGGTGTACGGCTGGTGTCGATCTCTGTTGGAACGAGGGAGTTGTTCTCGTCGTCCTTCGTTCCGTCGATCTCTCCTTGTTTCCGAGTGTATCGCTGTTAACCGTTGGGTCGGCCCATTTAGATCATCCTCGTCCGCTCGTACCTTGGCGCAATAAGCGTTGTGGATTTCTTCCCATGTGGTAGGGGGATATTTCATGAGGCGACTCAGCAGTTTCTTGGTTGCCCTCGAACCATTTCTGCTTAGCCCGTTCTGGAAAGCGGCGACTGCCATACCTTCCGATACGTTTGGTAGGCTCATCCTTACCCTGTTAAACTTTGCCAGGAAGTCCCTGAGTCCCTCTCCTGCGTTTTGCCTGATGGCGAAGATGTCGTTGACCCTGGCTTCTGCTTTCTTCGCGCCTGCATGGGCTGTGACGAATTTATCTGCCATTTCCTCGAACGTTGATATTGCTTTAGCTGGTAGCTGAGAGTACCATGTTAAGGCCCCTCCTGTCAACGTCTCGCCAAACTTCTTCAGTAGTACCGACGGTACCTGTTCTTTTGATAGGTCGTTGCCTTTCACAGCAGTGACGTAGTGGATCAGATGATCCTCGGGTTCGGTGGTTCCGTCATATACCCTCAAGTATGGTGGCATTTTGAAGGTTTTTGGGGTGGAGTGAGGAGCAGCTTCTTCGGTGTATGGTTGTTCGACGAACCTTCCTACGTCGCGTTTTGGTAGCAACTTGGGAGCACCGGGGATCTTGTCGAACCTCTCCTGATGTTCCTTCATCTGACCGCGGAGCGCCTCATTTTCATTTTCTATTTCTTCCATCTTCTTTAAGATGGCTGTTAGCGTGCCATCGTTGGTTTGTGTCTCGATGGGTCTGTTATTTACCAGTGTAATTTCTGGTTCACCCACTGCCGCAATGGTACCTACCGTTGGTGTACATCCGACGTTATTTTGCGGTGGCCTTTCAACCAAGCCACTTAGAGCGCTTGTTAGCCATCTTTCCAGTAGCTCTTTGACCGCTGAGGGCGCTTCCGTGGCTGTAGATGTGGAAGCTCCTTTGTGTAAGATCGTCAGACCTTCGGATGGGGAAGGTGAGATCTCTGCATCTGGTGTGATGCTTGGGGTTTCATTCAGGATGCCATCGTCACAGGCCTCGTTGAGAGGGCCTAGGAGATTGGTAGTGACACCCAATATGGCTTTCGATCTTGTGTTGTTTTCGGCCATTTTCTGTTTTTGAGTGGTGTAGAGAGTGGTGGTTGGTTGATCTCTAGGTGGATACTATGGTTTTGATTCTCGAAATCCCCACAGACGGCGCCAAATTGTTTGGCTCAAAAGTTAACGATATACTTTGTAAGCGATAAAACAATCAAAAAATAGAGAAGGGGTAAATCGTAATCAAATATAATAAACCTAGAGATGCAAAGATGATAATATTGTTGTAGATCTAGTGTTGCAAAGATGATAATGTATCTTCATAAGATATTTTCGTCAGAAGTAGAGATATATAGAGAGAAAGACAGAAAAGGAGAGAGTTGTATTAGATCAGCTGCCTGCCTTTACAATGTGGAGGTCCCCCTTATATAATAGGAGACCTTCCTCGAATGAATCAAAAAGTTACAGAGATAGGTAACGTCTCCCTAGTGTAGACGCTAAGTTCTAAACGACGTCGCTTTGGTCCTCACGGCCGAGTCGTACCCGCTACGTTTAGTCGGCGTACACTCATTGGGCGTACCTACTGGCGTAGAGATACTGAGGGTCAAATTTGACCCTATACAATCACAACCTTAAAATTTTCGAATTTACCAATACATTTAAGCAACATTAGAGCACAAAAGAGTGGCAAGGATAAGGGAAATCTTAATAATCCAATTTGAATGACTACTTAAATATATATCTTGTTAGCAAGAATTTGATTTTCCACCTTATAATTTTCGATTCCACCGAGAAGAATAGTAGAGCTGAGGAGAGTGGAATGGGTACCCAGAAAATGTAATTGGCCGTGTAAGCAAAAGTGTGTAAAAGAGATTGCTTTTTGCCCCCTTGTTATGGGACAACTGGTAGCTTGCCTTTACGTGCATGGTAAGTGAACTCTTACCATTCAAATTTATTGACTAAATAATGATGCTAGTTTTGGTTTTGGAGTGCTCATTATACTTTTGACAGCTTAAGGAGGTGAAAAAGTGCAATCATATCCTACTCCTCATGACCAATGTCATTAATTATTATATATAAAACAATTTTTTTTGGTATACAGAGACGAATATACGATTTTAAGTGAATCTAAAATAGTATGATCATTTTATTATGTCATTACAGTTTAATTTTTTTTACGCTTCTATACCAAAATTTGAATTGAATCCATACGTAGACTTCCCTTAAATCTGTATACATCTACAAACAATACACATGCACCACTAATTGTGGGAGCTAAAAGCAAAATCTGGTACTGTCTGTTCTAATATTTTCCCCCGAAGAGTAGAGGTATTTTGTCAAAACAAAATAGGATAAGGTTCAAGATGTGCAATTGTGGAGCTGGTGGAATGCAAATCTCATTGTTTGTCGCTTAGTTTGGTGGTGGTGGGGACTGGGGAGGAGGAGGAATGAATACTACTGTTACTGCTCTATTATGTCCTTAGCCACTTGCGTGCCACTGCTAGGCATTCCTTTTAGGTCTACTTGCACATTACAACAACGACGAAGACGGCGACCCAGTAAAAGTCCACAAGTGGGGTCTGAGAAAGGTAGTAAGTACGCAGACCTTATCCTTGTCCCGAGGGAGTAGAGAGGCTGTTTCGGTCCTTTCGGATAGACACTCGGCTCAAGAGGACGAAAAGAGACAATATATTAGTACCGTCAACAGAAACCATAGAAATAATAACAACATCATAAGAGCCAGAAAATATATGAAAAACAAAAATAATAACCAGTAAATAAGGCCCGACACTATGAAAAATCGAAGAGTAGTGTGAACACAACATTAACCACTAGCAGTCTAGGACAAAATCCTATCGGACTAGCCTCACACTAGTACGCAGTAGGAATATGCTCAACTACCTCTTAACCTACAACCCTAATGCTCGAGCTTCCTATCAATGGCCATGTCCTCGAAAATCTGGAGCTACGTCATGTCCTGCCTGATCACCTCTACCCAATACTTCTTAGGCCACCCTCTTCCTCTTCTCGAACCTGCCAAAGCCAACCGCTCACACCTCCTTAACAGGGAATCTGGGCTTCTCCTCTGTACGTGCCCGAATCATTTTAGCCTCGCTTCCCGCATTTTGTCATCCATGGGAGCCACACCCACCTTCTCTCGAATATCCTCATTCCTAATCTTATCCATCCTAGTGTGCCGGCATATCCACCTCAACATCCTCATTTCTGCTACTTTCATCTTCTAGATATGTGAGTTATTAACTGGCCAGCACTCAGCCCCATACAACATGGCCAGTCTAACCACCGCTCTATAAAACTTACCTTTGAGTATCTGTGGAACTTTCTTGTCACACAAGACTCCAGATACTAACCTCCATTTCATCCACCCCACCCCTATACGGTGTGTGATATCCTCGTCGATCTCCATTATCCTCCTGGATAACCGACCCAAGGTACTTGAAACTGCCTCTCTTGGGGATGACATGTGATTCAAGCCTCACGTCCATGCCCGCTTCCCTCGGCTCGGCGCAGAACTTACACTCTCGGTATTCCGTCTTAGTCCTGCTCAACTTGAAACCCTTAGAATCAAGGGCCTGTCTCCAAACCTCCAGCCTTTCGTTAACTCCACCTCGCATCACATCAATCAGAACTATGTCATCAGCGAATAACGTATACCATGATACCTTCCTTGAATATGGTGTGTCCGTGGGTCCATCACCAGGGCAAATAAGAATGGACTGAGCATAGATCCTTCGTGTAATCCCATAACAATCGGAAGATGCTTCGAGTCGCCTCCCACTGTCCTAACCTGAGCCTTAGCTACATCATACATGTCCTTAATCGCCCTAATGTAAGCAACCGACACACCTTTTGCCTTCAGGCATCTCCAAAGAATCTCTCTGGAAACCTTGTCATATGCTTTCTCCAGATCAATAAATATCATGTGCAGATCCTTCTTCCTATCCATGTACTGTTCCACCAACCTCCCAATAAGGTGGATAGCTTCCGTAGTAGAACGACCCGACAAGAATCCAAATTGGTTGGCGGATATAGACACCGTCCTCCTTACCTTCACTTCTACCACCCTCTCCCAAACTTTCATGATATGACTTAGTAATTTGATACCATATAGTTGTTGCAACTCTGAATATCACCTTTGTTCTGTACAATGGAACCATCGTACTCCACCTCCACTCATCCAACATCCTCTTCGTCCTAAAAATAACATTAAATAATCCAGTCACCCACTCAAAACATGATCTACCCACACACCTCCAAAATTCTAATAGAATTTTGTTTGGCCTGGTTTCTCTGCCTCTACTCATCTTACGCATAGCCCCAACAACCTCCTAAACCTTGATGCGCCTACAGTACCTAAAGTCACGTTGACTCTCGGAATGCCCAATTCACCTAACACAATATCCCGATCCCTTCTTTATTCAGAAGTTTATGAAAGTAGTCTGCCATCTCCGCTTAATCTGGGCCTCTCCCATCAATTCTCTACCGTCCTCGTCTTTGATGCACCTCACTTGGTCCAGATTTTGAGCCTTCCTCTCTCTCGCCTTGGATAGCTGAAATAACTTCTTCTCCCCGCCTTTCTCCTCCAATTCCTTGTACAGACGATCAAAAGCCGCAGTCTTAACCTCCGTGACCCCCAACTTCGCCTCCTTCCTAACTACCTTTCACCTCTCTTTGTTCGCTCTCCTCTCCTCCTCGCTTGTGCTCCCTACTAACTTTAGTTACGCCACCTTCTTCCATATTACCTTGGACCACTTTATTCCACCACCAGTCACCTTTGTGCCTGCCAGAGTAATCCATCGAGACCCTCAACACCTCTTTCTCTGCCTCCCTTATACATTCCGCTGTCGTCGACCAGATATCGCTCGCGTCCCTACTACTCCTCCTGGCTCTCATAGCCGATAACCTCCCCTCCAACTCAGCTTTATCCTTAGTCATGGATCCTCACCTGATCCTCGGTCGTCCTCGTGCATACCTCTTCTTCCTCTTTATCATGATACCGACGACCATTACCAAGAGCCTATTCTGCGTCGTGGTGGTCTCACCCGGGATAACCTTGCAATCCTTGCACAACCCTCTATCACATATCCTGAGGAGGAGATAATCAATCCGAGTCTTTGCCACCGTTCTATGGAAAGTAACCAAAGGCTCCTCCCTCTTCAAAAAGCTAGAGTTCGCAATCAGCAACTCAAATACCTTAGGGAAATCCAACATTGAAGTACCTCCTCCGTTCCCATCCCCAAAATTGAAGCCGCAATGCACCTCGCCATAGCTACCTGCAGTCGACCCAATATGTCCATTGAAATCCCCTCCTATAAATAACCTCCTAGCAGGCAGATTATTACGCACAATCTCATCCAACCCCTCCTAGAAGTGCCTTTTAACCTCCTCATCCAAGCCACTTGTGGCGCGTAAGCGCTAATGACATTTAGGGTGCACTCCCCAACCAACAAATTAATAGTCATTCTATCATTCACCCGCCTAACCTCTACCACAGACTCTCTAAGTTCCCTATCCACCAAAATACCCAATCCATTCTTACCCTTCAGGACTCCAGAGTACCACATCTTATACCCGTCCGCATCCCTCGCCTTCGATCCTACCCACCCAGTCTGCTGGACACATGCTATATTGACCTTCTTCTTCTGGAGGATCTTCTCCATCTCTATAGACTTACCCATCAATGTTTCTATGTTCAATAACCCAATTCTCAACCTATAGACTCCTTTGTTCCCCTTACCTCCCGTCCCACCCCCTGTCCCCTACCCCACTCCCCGCTCTACCCCCAGCCCCCCTGAGGACATACCTATGACAGACTAAGGAAAATCACTAACACACCATAGGTAACAGACCAAACTGGAAGAAAAAAGTTATAACTACAGGCACACTAATAGTATGATTAAACTAATGCGAACTAAAATGGAATTAATTTGGCTAACAGAAAGAAGATAAATAGGAAAGCGGGAGGTACAAACTCCCGAGAATAGAACCTCAAAATTGTCTTGATGTACACGATGATGTTGCGGCACCTGGCGCGTTCACGTCCAACTTCTTAGTGCCCCTTCCTGACGCTCACTATGGCTGCTCTCCTATGTTTGTGCGCGCTCTTCCCGCTCGTCTCCAATAACCACCGATATTACCTGAAAGACACACAAAACACCATGGAACCAAAGGGGGGG